TTGACGTATGAAATTATTTAAAGTTCATAAAAAGGGAAGACAAAGATCAGGGACATCAACATTTCCCCCTTGAGATTTGATTTAAATGTTTACGTCGCCCTTCAATGTAGGGTGATCGAACATCTTTATCAATAACGAAAACATTAGCTTGAATCAGGGCCAACAACCGCATTAACGTAACCACCAGGTGTGCTATAGGGCAACAAAGTAATGTCACATTAATGGAACCACCAGGCGTACTAGAGGGAAACAAAGTGATGTCATATTAATGGAACCACCAGGCGTACTATAGGGCAACAAAGTCATGTCATATTAATGAAACCACAAGCCGTAGTACAGGGCAACAAAGTAATGTCACATTAATGGAACCACCAGGCGTACTATAGGGAAACAAAGTAATGTCACATTAATGGAACCACCAGGCGTAGTGTAGGACATCAAACACAAAAACAAATGTTATACATGATATACATGCCACAAATCTAAATCTAAAAGTACCATGGTGTATTATGATATAGTTCACTGACAACAGTTTAAATGAATGTCATAAATATTCTCAATTGTCAATCCATAATATTTGCTCTATCATTCCTTGTGTGTAAATGTATAACACACTGTTGGTTGTGATTAGTACAACATACTGTTGGTTGTGATTAGTATAACATGCTGTTAGTTGTGATTAGTATAACATACTGTTGGTTGTGATTAGTATAACATACTGTTGGTTGTGATTAGTATAACATACTGTTGGTTGTGATTAGTATAACATACTGTTGGTTGTATAACATGCTGTTGGTTGTATAACATACTGTTGGTTGTGATTAGTATAACACACTGTTGGTTGTGATTAGTATAACATACTGTTGGTTGTGATTAGTATAACATACTGTTGGTTGTGATTAGTACAACATACTGTTGGTTGTGATTAGTACAACATACTGTTGGTTGTGATTAGTACAACATACTGTTGGTTGTATAACATACTGTTGGTTGTGATTAGTATAACATGATGTTGGTTGTGATTAGTACAACATACTGTTGGTTGTATAACATATTGTTGGTTGTGATTAGTATAACATACTGTTGGTTGTGATTAGTATAACATACTGTTGGTTGTGATTAGTATAACATACTGTTGGTTGTGATTAGTATAACATACTGTTGGTTGTGATTAGTATAACATACTGTTGGTTGTGATTAGTATAACATACTGTTGGTTGTGATTAGTATAACATACTGTTGGTTGTAAAACAAACTGTTGGTTGTGATTAGTATAACATACTGTTGGTTGTGATTAGTATAACATACTGTTGGTTGTGATTAGTATAACATACTGGTGGTTGTATAACATACTGTTGGTTGTGATTAGTATAACATACTGTTGGTTGTGATTAGTATAACATACTGTTGGTTGTGATTAGTATAACATACTGTTGGTTGTGATTAGTATAACATACTGTTGGTTGTATAGCATACTGTTGGTTGTGATTAGTATACTGTTGGTTGTGATTAGTATAACATACTGTTGGTTGTGATTAGTATAACATACTGTTGGTTGTGATTAGTATAACATACTGTTGGTTGTGATTAGTATAACATACTGTTGGTTGTGATTAGTATAACATACTGTTGGTTGTGATTAGTATAACATACTGTTGGTTGTATAGCATACTGTTGGTTGTGATTAGTATTACATACTGTTGGTTGTGATTAGTATAACATACTGTTGGTTGTGATTAGTATAACATACTGGTGGTTGTATAACATACTGTTGGTTGTGATTAGTATAACATACTGTTGGTTGTGATTAGTATAACATACTGTTGGTTGTGATTAGTATAACATACTGTTGGTTGTGATTAGTATAACATACTGTTGGTTGTATAGCATACTGTTGGTTGTGATTAGTATTACATACTGTTGGTTGTGATTAGTATAACATACTGTTGGTTGTGATTAGTATAACATACTGTTGGTTGTGATTAGTATAACATACTGTTGGTTGTATAGCATACTGTTGGTTGTGATTAGTATTACATACTGTTGGTTGTGATTAGTATAACATACTGTTGGTTGTGATTAGTATAACATACTGTTGGTTGTGATTAGTACAACATACTGTTGGTTGTGATTAGTATAACATACTGTTGGTTGTGATTAGTACAACATACTGTTGGTTGTGATTAGTATAACATACTGTTGGTTGTGATTAGTATAACATACTGTTGGTTGTGATTAGTATAACATACTGTTGGTTGTGATTAGTATAACATACTGTTGGTTGTGATTAGTATAACATACTGTTGGTTGTGATTAGTATAACATACTGTTGGTTGTATAGCATACTGTTGGTTGTGATTAGTATTACATACTGTTGGTTGTGATTAGTATAACATACTGTTGGTTGTGATTAGTATAACATACTGGTGGTTGTATAACATACTGTTGGTTGTGATTAGTATAACATACTGTTGGTTGTGATTAGTATAACATACTGTTGGTTGTGATTAGTATAACATACTGTTGGTTGTGATTAGTATAACATACTGTTGGTTGTATAGCATACTGTTGGTTGTGATTAGTATTACATACTGTTGGTTGTGATTAGTATAACATACTGTTGGTTGTGATTAGTATAACATACTGTTGGTTGTGATTAGTATAACATACTGTTGGTTGTGATTAGTATAACATACTGTTGGTTGTATAACATACTGTTGGTTGTGATTAGTATAACATACTGTTGGTTGTGATTAGTATAACATACTGTTGGTTGTGATTAGTATAACATACTGTTGGTTGTGATTAGTATAACATACTGTTGGTTGTATAACATACTGTTGGTTGTGATTAGTATAACATACTGTTGGTTGTGATTAGTATAACATGCTGTTGGTTGTGATTAGTATAACATACTGTTGGTTGTGATTAGTATAACATACTGTTGGTTGTGATTAGTATAACATACTGTTGGTTGTATAACATACTGTTGGTTGTGATTAGTATAACATACTGTTGGTTGTGATTAGTATAACATACTGTTGGTTGTGATTAGTATAACATACTGTTGGTTGTGATTAGTACAACATACTGTTGGTTGTGATTAGTACAACATACTGTTGGTTGTATAACATACTGTTGGTTGTATAACATACTGTTGGTTGTATAACATACTGTTGGTTGTGATTAGTATAACATACTGTTGGTTGTGATTAGTATAACATACTGTTGGTTGTGATTAGTATAACATACTGTTGGTTGTATAACATACTGTTGGTTGTGATTAGTATAACATACTGTTGGTTGTGATTAGTATAACATACTGTTGGTTGTGATTAGTATATCATTCTCTTTGTTTTCATTACTCTAATCAGTGGTTTTAGTTGGAATTGAGGAAGAAATCTGTTCTATGCAGCGATGTAAGGGAAGTAACTCTGATAAGAATACTGCCCTTATATGGATTAATAAAAAAACAGAATCAAGGGAAGTAACTCTGGTAACAATAATCCCGTAATATGGATGAATAAAAAGACGCAATCATTCAATTGGATTTATTATATTGATGCATCAAAATACAGGACAGATTTTTTAAAATGTACAAATTAGCAAATACACATTAATATGTTGTATTACCTGTACATTCTACAATGGACAAAAAATACATGATGGTGATGAAAGTAATTGTCTCGCCTCCTTACACATTATTATTTACTGAATGAAAGTTGCGGAACAAATTTTGAGTCCTAATATATATTCCATCTACTTTCATGTGTACTCGATTTAAACAACACAGAGTGGATTAAACCTTGTGGTTGTTACAAACAATTGGTTATGATGATTTATAAATTAATATATATTATGTGTACTATTTGTGTTTTAACTCTGTTATATAATTCCGTATTCTCTGATGTAAAGAATCTGTCAAATATGTACAAACCACGTGATTATTTAAATGATGTTCATGTTGTATATAAACAATTATATCACTTTACGTTTTTAGAGAATGTAACAAAGTGATATTTTGTATCATTTCAATCTTTCAACCGCCATTGTTATGATTATCTTGTGATTAGTCAATGAAGACTCTAAATATAACAGCTCTACACGACAACAACTCGAGAACTAAAAGTTGATCTTAATATATTGCAACTATTGTTTTTCTGTTGCGTTTCGAAGAGTGAGCCATGTATTGTCAAGTTATTAAATGAAAATGAGGAAATGACACAGTTAAAATGGGAAAGATATTTGATTAACCTATGTTAAATATAAACTAGCCTTTTTTAAGAGAAAAGAACAGAACACGTTGCTTCAGTCTTTGTAAAAACAGATAAAATATCTATTCCCAAATTTGTTTCACACTTCTCTAAACAAAACTGGATTCAAAGCTGGAACTCTCTAGCGTTCCTAAGCTTAAAGTAAAACTCATCTTTGTCTATACCGGAACTCTCTATCGTTCCTAAGCTTACAGTAAAACTCATCTTTGTCTATACCGGAACTCTCTAGCGTTCCTAAGCTTACAGTAAAACTCATCTTTGTCTATACCGAAAATGTCTAGCGTTCCTAAGCTTACAGTAAAACTCATCTTTGTCTATACCGGAACTCTCTAGCGTTCCTAAGCTTACAGTAAAACTCATCTTTGTCTATACCGGAACTCTCTAGCGTTCCTAAGCTTACAGTAAAACTCATCTTTGTCTATACCGAAAATGTCTAGCGTTCCTAAGCTTACAGTAAACCACAACTTTGTCTATACCGAACTCTCTAGCGTTCCTAAGCTTACAGTAAAACTCATCTTTGTCTATACCGAAACTCTCTAGCGTTCCTAAGCTATATTTCTGTACGTGTCACATTTGTATAAATGCCGCAAATCAAAACAGGAAATAACTTATTGTCGTAAATAAGAGACAACACGTATTAGATGTACGGAGGAGTTGAACAACAATGATAAAATTTGAGAAATGTGATTGTTTTCGTTAATCCTGGTTGTATGACATGACAGTCGTTTAGGAACACTTTGGTAAGCTACTTCCGGCGCCACCTTTGGAAAACCCAGCCAATATCGCACCTCCTCCACTAAAACAGAATCCAATAAGGAGGATGCATATGTTCCGGACCCCCTGTCAATATACAATTTCAGGAATACATCATAATGTCACTTTTAAAGTTAACATGTACAACATCGACTTACTACATACATTCATCACTGTACGTCTCTGGAAACTAGTTTCGTTTCTTGTATATTGAACTTCGTTTTAATGTATATAGATGTTACACGGAATAAACAAAGTTAGAAAAAAAATATTGATTTCAATTATTACAGTAAACGTGATGTTACTAAGACTGAATTATATTTAAGTTCTAAGCCCATTGTTCTCTGAAATGTTTTTGTTTCTATGGAAACAAATCCACTCAGAATGATCACTTTCCAAAAACACACAAGTGTGTACTTTCGTTTTTGTCCGATATAATGTTTAATGTGACGAGAAGGGAAAGTGATGAAAATAACATTCTTCGTTTATGTGAGTTTGTATAGATTAAATCCTCCTTACACATGCGAAAGAATTTTTTTCACTAAAACGTTCTCACTTCGTACAATGTTGTATATATATAGTTAAGATTTATATTTCAATTAGACTGGTTGTACATTGTATAACTAAAATTTAACCTTTCAGCACTGAGTGAAAAAGAAAATTTAAATACGGTTTAATAAATGAAAAATATTTCTCTAGTTCCATCTGAAAATATTATGTACTGGATATGAAAGTTTAGCCATATTTAGACTCTGACCATGTAAAGGTCGAAGGTCATTCATTTGAACATGTAACAAGCCAAAAACATTACAGTATCCTTGACGTTTCCAGTTATTGAGAAGAAATCGTCTAAAGACTTGAACCTCGTGACTTTGAAAATCTATCAGGATCCTGTAGTCCTTCAGTCAAGCAGTCTACAAGTCTGGCGTTTAAGAAAAGAAGTCGTTTTAAAGGATTTGAAGACACATGGGGACGAAAAAACCCGATGTTTGTATTCAAATTCCTGAATTAGATAATTCATGCGTGGAAAAGAAAATTGCGTTCCAACCTTAATCTCCTTGAAGACAAACACTCCCCATACTGAAGCTATCACTGCAGGAATAGTTGTAACAATAGGAAATGCCACGGCATTTGACAAGACCTTGTTAGCGAGGAACCTGTTTGGTACACAAAAGTGTAATGTCAAATTATTGATACAATGAGATATAACACAATACTTCTCAGTACAGTGTGTCAGCAGATATGCATCAATTGTCAACGATTCTATTTAAGCAGAATGCATGTTTTATAAACAGTGACTTCCACAGATTCAATCAAAATCGGACATATTCGGATTAATATTTTTTAAGAAAGCGTCAAAAGAGGAGTTGGCAAAAAGACAATTGTAGTTTCGATAAAAAATATGTATGGAATGTTATATCAATTGGACAAGTCTGTGTATACTTAACATAATGGATCAGGAAAAAAATAATCTATCAGTTGCCTATGTCACAAAAAATCAGAGATTTATAGGTACCAACAGGAGGTGATTATCAACAAACAGAAACAAAAGGGAACATTGTTCACATCAACAAACAGAAACAAAAGGGGACATTGTTCACATCAACAAACAGAAACAAAAGGGAACATTGTTCACATCAACAAACAGAAACAAAAGGGGACATTGTTCACATCAACAAACAGAAACAAAAGGGAACATTGTTCACATCAACAAACAGAAACAAAAGGGGACATTGTTCACATCAACAAACAGAAACAAAAGGGGACATTGTTCACACCAACAAACAGAAACAGAAGGGAACACTGTTCATATCAACAAACAAAAGGGAACATTGTTCATATCAACAAACAGAAACAAAAGGGAACATTGTTCACATCAACAAACAGAAACAAAAGGGAACATTGTTCACATCAACAAACAGAAACAAAAGGGGACATTGTTCACATCAACAAACAGAAACAGAAGGGAACATTGTTCACATCAACAAACAGAAACAAAAGGGAACATTGTTCACATCAACAAACAGAAACAAAAGGGAACATTGTTCACATCAACAAACAGAAACAGAAGGGAACATTGTTCACATCAACAAACAGAAACAAAAGGGAACATTGTTCACATCAACAAACAGAAACAAAAGGGAACATTGTTCACATCAACAAACAGAAACAAAAGGGAACATTGTTCACATCAACAAACAGAAACAAAAGGGAACATTGTTCACATCAACAAACAGAAACAAAAGGGGACATTGTTCATACCAACAAACAGAAACAGAAGGGAACATTGTTCATATCAACAAACAAAAGGGAACATTGTTCACATCAACAAACAGAAACAAAAGGGAACATTGTTCACATCAACAAACAGAAACAAAAGGGAACATTGTTCATATCAACAAACAGAAACAAAAGGGAACATTGTTCATATCAACAAACAGAAACAAAAGGGAACATTGTTCACATCAACAACCAGAAACAGAAGGGGACATTGTTCACATCAACAAACAGAAACAGAAGGGAACATTGTTCACATCAACAAACAGAAACAAAAGGGAACATTGTTCACATCAACAAACAGAAACAAAAGGGGACATTGTTCATACCAACAAACAGAAACAAAAGGGAACATTGTTCATATCAACAAACAAAAGGGAACATTGTTCATATCAACAAACAAAAGGGAACATTGTTCATATCAACAAACAGAAACAAAAGGGAACATTGTTCACATCAACAAACAGAAACAAAAGGGAACATTGTTCACATCAACAAACAGAAACAAAAGGGAACATTGTTCACATCAACAAACAGAAACAAAAAGGGAACATTGTTCATATCAACAAACAGAAACAAAAGGGAACATTGTTCACATCAACAAACAGAAACAAAAGGGAACATTGTTCACATCAACAAACAGAAACAAAAGGGAACATTGTTCATATCAACAAACAGAAACAAAAGGGAACATTGTTCACATCAACAAACAGAAACAAAAGGGAACATTGTTCACATCAACAAACAGAAACAAAAGGGAACATTGTTCACATCAACAAACAGAAACAAAAGGGAACATTGTTCACATCAAACAAACAAACAAAACAAAAGGGAACATTGTTCACATCAACAAACAGAAACAAAAGGGAACATTGTTCACATCAACAAACAGAAACAAAAGGGAACATTGTTCACATCAACAAACAGAAACAAAAGGGAACATTGTTCACATCAACAAACAGAAACAAAAGGGAACATTGTTCACATCAACAAACAGAAACAAAAGGGAACATTGTTCACATCAACAAACAGAAACAAAAGGGAACATTGTTCACATCAACAAACAGAAACAAAAGGGAACATTGTTCATATCAACAAACAGAAACAAAAGGGAACATTGTTCATATCAACAAACAAAAGGGAACATTGTTCATATCAACAAACAGAAACAAAAGGGAACATTGTTCACATCAACAAACAAAAGGGAACATTGTTCATATCAACAAACAAACAAAAGGGAACATTGTTCATATCAACAAACAGAAACAAAAGGGAACATTGTTCACATCAACAAACAGAAACAAAAGGGAACATTGTTCATATCAACAAACAGAAACAAAAGGGAACATTGTTCATATCAACAGAACAGGAAAAAATAACATTGTTACAACAACATCATGTTATCAACAAAATTGTACATCTGTACGCTATCAAGTATTGTCCATTTCTTGGTTACATTATATGACAAACAGGCCCATAGTCAAATTAAAAAAAGAAACAGACTCATATTCAAATTAAAATAAAACAGATGCTAACCCATAGTCAAATTAAAATAAAAACAGAAACAGACCCATACTTCAATTAAAAAGAAAACAAAACAAAATGTCTGGAAACCGGCATCTGGACAGACAACAGACAGACGGATGGGCGGAGACAAATATAGTCCCCTCCGGCTTCACCGGTAGGGGACTAACTAGTGCATAAATGAACAAAAGAAAGATTTACATGGAGACTCCTGAAAAAAGTACAAGGAGAGTATGTCCAGGCGTTCCGGAAGAGTAAGCGTCTTCTGCTTTATCGACAACTCCCGCCATAAAGAGTACAGGAGAAATGAGTGAAAACATTTGAATGAACTTACCATTTTGACTTGCACCGTTCACATTATCCTGTACGTATGTTGCTCCGGTAAACATCTGTCCGTAAAGTACGCCCGATATAAGTGACAGCCCAATACCCCTGAAATACACATTCGGTGTCAAGTACGCCCGATATATACACATTCGGTGTCAAGTACTCCCGTTACATACACATTCGGTGTCAAGTACTCCCGTTACATACATATTCGGTGTCAAGTACGCCCGATATATACACATTCGGTGTCAAGTACTCCCGTTACATACACATTCGGTGTCAAGTACGCCCGATATATACACATTCGGTGTCAAGTACTCCCGATATAAGTGACAGTCCAATACCCCTGAAAATACACATTCGGTGTCAAGTACTCCCGTTATATACACATTCGGTGTCAAGTACTCCCGTTATATACACATTCGGTGTCAAGTACGCCCGATATAAGTGACAGTCCAATACCCCTGAAAATACACATTCGGTGTCAAGTACGCCCGATATATACACATTTGGTGTCAAGTACTCCCGTTATATACACATTCGGTGTCAAGTACTCCCGTTACATACACATTCGGTGTCAAGTACGCCCGATATATACACATTCGGTGTCAAGTACGCCCGATATATACACATTCGGTGTCAAGTACTCCCGTTACATACACATTCGGTGTCAAATACTCCCGTTACATACACATTCGGTGTCAAGTACGCCCGATATATACACATTCGGTGTCAAGTACTCCCGTTACATACACATTCGGTGTCAAGTACTCCCGTTACATACACATTCGGTGTCAAGTACTCCAGTTACATACACATTCGGTGTCAAGTACTCCCGTTACATACACATTCGGTGTCAAGTACTCCCGTTACATACACATTCGGTGTCAAGTACGCCCGATATATACACATTCGGTGTCAAGTACTCCCGTTACATACACATTCGGTGTCAAGTACTCCCGTTACATACACATTCGGTGTCAAGTACGCCCGATATATACACATTCGGTGTCAAGTACTCCCGTTACATACACATTCGGTGTCAAGTACTCCCGTTACATACACATTCGGTGTCAAGTACGCCCGTTATATACACATTCGGTGTCAAGTACTCCCGTTACATACACATTCGGTGTCAAGTACTCCCGTTATATACACATTCGGTGTCAAGTACTCCCGTTACATACACATTCGGTGTCAAGTACTCCCGTTACATACACATTCGGTGTCAAGTACGCCCGTTACATACACATTCGGTGTCAAGTACTCCCGTTACATACACATTCGGTGTCAAGTACTCCCGTTACATACACATTCGGTGTCAAGTACTCCCGTTACATACACATTCGGTGTCAAGTACTCCCATACACATACATACACATTCGGTGTCAAGTACTCCCGTTACATACACATTCGGTGTCAAGTACTCCCGTTACATACACATTCGGTGTCAAGTACTCCCGTTACATACACATTCGGTGTCAAGTACTCCCGTTACATACACATTCGGTGTCAAGTACGCCCGATATATACACATTCGGTGTCAAGTACTCCCGTTATATACACATTCGGTGTCAAGTACGCCCGATATATACACATTCGGTGTCAAGTACTCCCGTTATATACACATTCGGTGTCAAGTACTCCCGTTATATACACATTCGGTGTCAAGTACGCCCGATATATACACATTCGGTGTCAAGTACTCCCGTTATATACACATTCGGTGTCAAGTACGCCCGATATATACACATTCGGTGTCAAGTACGCCCGATATATACACATTCGGTGTCAAGTACTCCCGTTATATACACATTCGGTGTCAAGTACGCCCGATATATACACATTCGGTGTCAAGTACTCCCGTTACATACACATTCGGTGTCAAGTACTCCCGTTACATACACATTCGGTGTCAAGTACTCCCGTTACATACACATTCGGTGTCAAGTACTCCCGTTACATACACATTCGGTGTCAAGTACTCCCGTTACATACACATTCGGTGTCAAGTACTCCCGTTACATACACATTCGGTGTCAAGTACTCCCGCCCATTCGGTGTCAAGTACACCCGTTATATACACATTCGGTGTCAAGTACTCCCGTTACATACACATTCGGTGTCAAGTACTCCCGTTACATACACATTCGGTGTCAAGTACTCCCGTTATATACACATTCGGTGTCAAGTACTCCCGTTATATACACATTCGGTGTCAAGTACTCCCGTTATATACACATTCGGTGTCAAGTACGCCCGATATATACACATTCGGTGTCAAGTACTCCCGTTATATACACATTCGGTGTCAAGTACGCCCGATATATACACATTCGGTGTCAAGTACTCCCGTTATATACACATTCGGTGTCAAGTACGCCCGATATATACACATTCGGTGTCAAGTACTCCCGTTACATACACATTCGGTGTCAAGTACTCCCGTTATATACACATTCGGTGTCAAGTACGCCCGATATATACACATTCGGTGTCAAGTACTCCCGTTATATACACATTCGGTGTCAAGTACGCCCGATATATACACATTCGGTGTCAAGTACTCCCGTTATATACACATTCGGTGTCAAGTACTCCCGTTATATACACATTCGGTGTCAAGTACTCCCGTTACATACACATTCGGTGTCAAGTACTCCCGTTATATACACATTCGGTGTCAAGTACTCCCGTATACATACACGTACGCCCGATATATACACATTCGGTGTCAAGTACTCCCGTTATATACACATTCGGTGTCAAGTACTCCCGTTACATACACATTCGGTGTCAAGTACTCCCGTTACATACACATTCGGTGTCAAGTACTCCCGATATATACACATTCGGTGTCAAGTACGCCCGATATATACACATTCGGTGTCAAGTACTCCCGTTATATACACATTCGGTGTCAAGTACTCCCGTTATATACACATTCGGTGTCAAGTACGCCCGATATATACACATTCGGTGTCAAGTACTCCCGTTATATACACATACCAGAACACTTACCGCCGGTAACTAGGAATACGCTGTGAAGTACTCCCGTTATATACACATTCGGTGTCAAGTACGCCCGATATATACACATTCGGTGTATATATATACACATTCGGTGTCAAGTACTCCCGTATATACACATTCGGTGTCAAGTACGCCCGATATATACACATTCGGTGTCAAGTACTCCCGTTATATACACATTCGGTGTCAAGTACTCCCGTTATATACACATTCGGTGTCAAGTACGCCCGATATATACACATTCGGTGTCAAGTACTCCCGTTATATACACATACGGTGTCAAGTACTCCCGTTATATACACATTCAGTGTCAAGTACTCCCGATATATACCCGATATATACACATTCGGTGTCAAGTACTCCCGTTATATACACATTCTGTGTCAAGTACTCCCGTTATATACACATTCGGTGTCAAGTACGCAAGTACGCCCGATATATACACATTCGGTGTCAAGTACTCCCGTTACATACACATTCGGTGTCAAGTACTCCCGTTACATACACATTCGGTGTCAAGTACGCCCGATATAAGTAACAGTCCAATACCCCTGAAAATACACATTCGTGGTCCATAAACAGGAGTAGCCGAAGATTATATAAACTTTTTTTCACAGATGTTTTACCGGTATTAAAGTGATTATTTCAGTTTTTATATTCACATTGCAAACTCACTAGAATAATAATAAACTTTGTTTATTTTACAACAATTGCGAAGCAAGTTTTTTTCTCTTACATTAATCACTCTTGTTGGCCCGGATGTAAGCGCGCGAGGGGTATTAGTGTAGGAGGAAACCGGAGTACCCGGGGCAAAACCCACGTGGTCGGGCAGGTGACCCCATACCTTTTCATATCCATTCCGGAAATCGAACCCCGGACGGCTAGGTGAAAGGCGAATGCGTTACCACTGTGCCACCCGACCATCCAATAGAACCCAATATCATCAAATGCATATGAAATTTTCACATTCAGTTACTTTATATATGCGAAAATTCCGTGAAAAATTTCGGACATTGTTACACATTTAATGAAGGAAGATGATGTTTGAGTTGTTCCCTCTGCGGGTCTCGAACTGACGATCTATGGCACCAAATCGCCTAGTCAAGCAATGCCAAACAGCCTAACCAATACACCATCCTCACGACACACCCAATAAAGGAAGCTGTAATGACCATCGTGGCAAATTGTCTAATTACTTGATACGATCACCTGGTAGCTTATTCATACTTGGATACGAGTTGTACAAATAGCACACTTCGAATTCAGGTCTATATACAGATATACAGGATTGCACGAAGAACACACAAGCTAATACCGCGCCTTTCAATATAGTCCAGCGTTTAAGGGAGACAATACTTCACTTTGTGGGGAAAGCGTGCAATTTTTTTTGTAGGTAACGCATCCCAATACAAGTCATTTTCGATTAGGACCCACTTCAGAAACGCCCCCTGGTGGCGGCCATCTTGAAAATCAATATGGCGGCAAACTGGTGCATGTATTCCTCAATAACTCCGTTGTTAAGGTAAATACACACGTATTTTCAATGGCTACCCCCAATGTTTTCATGGTCAGAGAGTTATATGAAACTACTCGTGACTTCCTGTTGTGTCCGCCATCTTTGATTTCAAGATGGCCGCCACCAGGGGGTGTTTCTGAAGTGGGCCCTAATCGAAAATGACTTGTATCATGCTTTCCCTACAAAGTGAAGTATTGCTTGAAATATGGCTCTTAACAACTGGACTGATATAATTAGATAGAGTATAGCAAACTGATGTGAATCGGTATAATAGAGGCTTTATTGTCTTCCTGGGACTCATCAATGATGCTAATCATCTTTAAAGTTGAAACCTGCGAGATAACTCAGAAATTTAAATGAATAGAATGTTTGCATTAAGATTTGCCAAAACAACTGAATATTAAAAATGTTTAGATTTTAAAATCCAGTTATATATTGGTTTCTATTCTGTTCAAGATTCAACGTTCAGCATAAAAAACAACGAATGATAAGATCAATATTCAAGGGTTTTTCACGTAAAAGACATAATTCTGTTGTTGATAATGAATGGTTTATACAAAGCAACCTTACACGACCCGTTTCTTCAGTGGTGACATCCTGTCAATGAACGACTCGTCTGGGTCCAATCCCTGCACGTCAAACCGGTTTACAGAACTATTCTGTAATATACATTTATTCAGTGATATCAAACATAAATTATCACCGCTTTGGTACACGTAATGCACAATATTAACCCAGGTAGTAGAGAACTACGGACGTGATACACAACATTAACCCAGGTAGTAGAGAACTACGGACGCGATATAAAACATTAACCCAGGCAGTAGAGAACTACGGACGTGATACACAACATTACCCCAGGCAGTAGAGAACTACGGACGTGATACACAACATTAACACAGGCAGTAGAGAACTACGGACGTGATACACAACATTAACCAAGGTAGTAGAGAACTACGGACGTGATACACAACATTAACCCAGGTAGAAGAGATATACGGACGTGATACACAACATTAACCCAGGCAGTAGAGAACTACGGACGTGATACACAGCATTAACCAAGGTAGTAGAGAACTACGGACGTGATACACAACATTAACCCAGGCAGTAGAGAACTACGGACGTGATACACAACATTAACCAAGGTAGTAGAGAACTACGGACGTGATACACAACATTAACCCAGGTAGAAGAGATATAGGGACGTGATACACAACATTAACCCAGGCAGTAGAGAACTACGGACGTGATACACAACATTAACCAAGGTAGTAGAGAACTACGGACGTGATACACAACATTAACCCAGGCAGTAGAGAACTATGGACGTGATACACAACATTAACCCAGGTAGAAGAGATATAGGGACATGATACACAACATTAACCAAAGTTGTAGAGAACTACGGACGTGATACACAACATTAACCCAGGCAGTAGAGAACTACGGACGTGATACACAACATTAACACAGGCAGTAGAGAACTACGGACGTGATACACAACATTAACACAGGCAGTAGAGAACTACGGACGTGATACACAACATTAACCCAGGCAGTAGAGAACTACGGACGTGATACACAACATTAACCCAGGCAGTAGAGAACTGCGGACGTGATACACCACATAACCCATTAAGCAATGAAGTATGGACGTAATTCACGAGATACTAGCCCTTTTCCTGTTGAAGACTCGGTCATTCTGTGTACTAGTTGTTGTATAGAGATCTTCAGTAGTACTGGAGCCATAGCTTGTTGTCTAAAACATAGCACACATCAATACAGGTATTTTAAAGATAGTTTAATCTTTGTATAGGTATGATGGCTCAACGGTTAGATCTACATTTCGTTTCAACCTCGAGGGCTATAAGATGGATATAAGTGGTTTGCCTTCAAGTCACTTTATTATCATTTCAAGGTGTTTCCTTCACGGACATTTCATTTTGAATGTGAAACATAAATTTGCAGTGTAAAAATAACAGCTTTCGACAGGAATTAACACATTCCTGCTATGGACTCTCCAAGAACAGAAATAACAATGAAAGGAACACGAGAACTGCAGTTCGGAATATCATAAAGATGTATGTCATATCTGTGTCATTTTTCGAAACCAATCATTCTTAAAACTGATCAGCTCTTAAAACCAAACGAAATTGCGGTGTACGGGATAGTATCATCTCGTCATAAAGGACCTGATCCCTCTCAATACCGAATATCGATCCAGTCTTGTGTGCGAAATGATTATAATATTCATTGTATATTTTCTAATCAAATGAAGAACAATATCAAAATTAAACAACTATACTTTCATCAAAATGCCGGTGGTTACGATTCAGAATTAGGCTCATATGATGACCAATAGCAGTCCGGCATCAAATCTAGATACCATACAGATCTCCTGCAGTAAATACAGTATTGAATATTAAAACTGGCCGTACATGTACCCTTACCTATATTTACGAGGTATACACATGTTTACCTCACCCGTCAGATAGACGTGTTATAAACACGGCTACTTCGTAAAGGACGACTTATAACACCACATGTTAACGACCAATCAAATTTGAAGACCCAATACTCACGTGATCGCTTAGAAGCCCTTGTTTATCCTCTTGTATGTCTATATCGCTGTCAGGAAGGTGGAGCTCATTTTTTATCAGAGCAAATATGAAAGCACTGAAATATACAACCATTGTTAGAAATTAAAAAAAATAAATAAACATAATACAAAATATGCGTACGCATATTCATGGCATTTCCTTTCAGTAAGAATTGTATTTGCCGCCCACAGACCATAACGGTAAAAGGCGACTGAATTAGAAATGGTATTTTTACTTCTTTATAAACAATCAGTCTTTAGTACTAATGTCTCCCTTTATGTAGCTTTAGCTGAGTGTTCTCCTCTGTGTGGAATGATTTTAATTTTGTGTCCCCGTTCGAACTTATGAAATACAAGTAGCTGACACAACATGAAAATATTAAATTGGACATTATCATAATCAAAACTCAAATTCAAAACAAGAGGTCCATAGGTCTTGCATCGCTCACCTGGCTTTGTTTAGTTGAAATTTCTTCATTAAAAGTAAAGAAAACTAAATTCTAAATATTACAGTACATAACTCAAAGGCAAACTTCAGACTAAATTTGGGCAAAATCTAATCATTTCTACGGGAGGAGTAGGATTTTAAAGAATTTGTCCTATTTCCCCTACTGGGGCTCCGCCTCAAGGGGTCGAGACCCACCGTTTTTACATAATTGATTCTCCTTCAGCGAATCTTTTTTCCCAGTATGCTAAAGATCCGATATCATTACCTTTGGCCTTTCTCTTATTGAGAAGAAAAAAATAAGATATTTGATCCCGGTGACCTCGAAAGTTGGTTAGGGTCATTCGTTTAAACAAACGTGGTAACACTTCATCCTAGCATGCCACAGGTCCAATATCAGTACCCTGGGCCTTTTTGTTATTGAGAAGTTTGACCCCTGTGTCCTTGAAAGTGGATCGAGTTAATCTATTTCTACAATACCAATAGTCTTTTTTTCTCAGTATTCTAAAAGGCTCAATATGGACTTTCGTTTGCAGATTTTCATATATAAATCCTTGTGTCCTTGAAAGTAGGCCAAGGTCATTCATTTAAACAAAGTTGGTAGCCCTCCATCCTAGCATGTCACAGGCCCAATATCAGCACCCTGTGTTTTCCTTTGGTTTTTTATAATTTTTTTTATTTTTTGAAGATTTTCAACAATACATGAAACATAACACATCAAACATTCCACTCACACATGGCCATTTTCACTTAGGTACAAAGGAATGTAAATAGAGTAAAAAATGAAAGCCTGACATTAAGATTGATACTAAAGTAAGTGCTATGTTATAGTGTACCGTTTTTAGCGAAAAGGGAAAAATGAGCAAAGTAGCAGTAAGAGAGATGAAGGAGGAGAGAGAGGGAGAGGATGAGTATGGTGCCGGTAGGATCTGACAGGGGCTTTATTATTTTATTTCATTTTTGATACATTCAGCTAACAAAGTTAAAAAAGAAAATAATCCAAAAATGATTTAAAATTTCACTACAGAGTCTGAAGTAGTCTTTTCCATTTTCTCCATTCCTGTTTAAAATTGGTGAGATGATTTTCCCCATATCCTGTAGCAATGTATTTTTGAGTGTTATATGTATCTTTAATCAAATTCTTCAAAGCTGAAAGTGACAGACCAGTTTGCAGACATCTTGCCTGATAGACGTAAAGTTTTATGATAAGTAGGACTAAATTGTCAACATTAGTTTTCCTATCAAAGAAACCAAATATGAAGGATTCTTTATTAAAAGCAAATGGAATTAATAATAGATCTAACACTGCTTCAAAGTCAGTTAAAAATGCTTGTACCTCTTGACATTCCCATATCGCATGAATTATAGTCTCAATATCAGTTTTACAGTGATAACAATAAGGGCTGTCAACAAGACATTATGAATAAGAAGTTGTTTGAAGTGAAAACTTGACGCCGGACGGACGACAGACGCTACGGCATAAGCTCATTTGACCCTTCCCGCCAGGTGAGCTAAAAACAACCACCCTGATATAATGCTGTAATGATCTCTTTTATATACTTACCAGTGTGTTTGTTATCAAATTCCAGTTTTGCTATCGATGTTCGTTAGCGTCACCGAATGAATTCGATGTTGATTCTTATTATATTATTACGGTGTTTATTTTTCTTGGACATTTCTTACGGTTGTACATTACATCGACAGGGATTGTTTTAAAAAACAACTAACAAGTACAGGAGCGCACGCTTGCATTTAAAAGTCACAGGAACGCAAAGGGAGGCCAGAATCTTAAGCAAGTCAAGCGTATTAGAATATAAATGTATATCTATCTACGTAATGGTTACGCCCATTTAACTGAAATGTTTACCTGAATACAGCCAGAGACACTCCAATGTAGTTCAATGTTACTTTTTCTGGAACCTCTGGAGTAATGCCAAAAAACCCAAATCTACAAATATATCACACACAGAAATTATAAGATACAGTTCAGGATTTTACACAACGTATACATGAAGTGAACTACACCATGTCTGTAAGGCTTGGATATCCCCGCTCCACAACACGTTAGCGCCTTTGCTTTACAGATCTTCAAAATAATAAGTGACTTTGAAAGTAAAAGAATTAGGTTTTCGTAGGAAATTGACATATCACTGAATATAAATAAATAGCACGGCAGGTGTCACCCAAATTCCCCAAGATGTTGTACACTACCAGCTGGTTTGTCTGGCGCAGTAAAAACATATAAAGACATTTTCTCGTTACAAAGTGACGCCTTGCAAAAACAATTCCACACAAAATAATCAAACGAAAGCACCAGTATTGAAATATCTTATAAGGCAAAGGCAAAATATATGTAACTACGTGTTCTTTTTCCGTGGTATGCATTTCTGTCTTTGAGCCACCCATGTTTTTTTATTTTTTGTTTATTAGTAGCAGTTTCATTATCTAAATAAACATCAAAGGTAAATGATGCATCGATTTCAAATTAATGAATGCCCTTCAGACCTACCTTCCTGTCGCCCAGCCGCTCAGAAGATTTGACATACCCCAAATACACAGGCCGAGTCCCATACCGATAGTCTTAATGATTGGAACGACGGTGATGTTTCCTGGAAATGGTATGTTTATGATAATACACGCCGTCACAGAGCTGAAGTATTTTATGTGGGGAGCATAGCATAGGAGGAAAAGGGAACGCTGCTTACTTTACAGGCTTTTAATTCCACACCGTTAGTAGTAAGAAATTGCCGGTATGAGCGCATTTTCAAATTAGGGTTGAAAACCAACCACTAACACATCCGACTCAACAAGCTCAAAACCAACCACAACCATGTTTAAACATGTTCTAAATGACTTAAAGAAAAATGATGTTTCTAAAAATGACTTAAAGAAAAAACATTCTATAATGTAACGAGCGGCCTCGCAAGCTCGACTATCTCCTTATTGCTGACCCATGAATTGAACGTCTCTGGATAACCCTTCCACTTGACCAGCGACCTCGTTTTACCCTTCTTGACGACTTTTTCTATCCTGTATACCTCTTGGCTCGTCTTCTCCGTGTTAGGTAGTAAATTTTTTCATGTGCTTCACATAAAATCCACACCGGTTTTCTTTATATACTCTTGGTGATATTGTTTTTGCTTTCACCTTAATTGTGCATACAGCATTTGCATCACGGGTAATAGGAACGGGTGACATATACATCATGTAGGCCGATTTTTGTTTTTACCTTAGTACCTTTACTAGCAGCCGCAAACTGACTTATCAGGGGCGCGTTTTCAAACAACCCATCCCCCGTCTCAACGTCTACCATCACCAAATCACCAATAAAATAGTAACTCCTATAATCCACACCCAGGTAGGTGGAAACTTCTAAATAATCCCCCACCTTTACATTTGGGATCGTTAGTGTTATAAAAGGTAAAGTTTGATAAGTTGTCGTATTTGATGGGGTGATAGTTTCTGCTTGAGTGTGCAAATAAGTATATGGACCATAAATTTTCCACGAGTCAACTAAAACAGCATCCACATAACCTTTTGTTGCGGCGTGACCATCAGTCGAGGGTTGAGCCAAGGATAGGCCAGTTATTTCATGGCCTCCCATATGCAAAGATCCAGTCATAGTGTCTCCTCTCTTACTAACTCTAGCTACCTCACGAATGGACTTTGAAGTAACCATCCAATGTTTACCACTCCACGTAAATGTTCTCGATTCTCCACCAAAAACAATCAAAGATTGTAAAGTCCCAACAGATGTATCAGTACTGTCATCCGGATTTACTATTTTATTCTCATCATCCCACATTGAACATTGATTACCGTTTTTTTCGTGAATAACTAAGTATTCTTTCCCGACGGTAGCTGTTGGCGGAAATTTTAGCACAACGTTTCCGCTGGTGGTATCTGCTAGAATAATATGATACGTATCATCCAGATTATACAAACCTGCTGTAACGAGGGTGGTTACGGGTGTAGGGTTAACAATTTGACCATCGACATAATTCTTAGTAGAGACGTCTTGCGCGTTCACGGGATCCGACACGTTCGTTAACGTATTTCCCGCCATATCGATGGAACCAGTTACCATATTCTTATTGACGTACGACAGAGACACACCGGGTTCTGGTGGTGGGATGTTGAATATGTATATTTTTATAAATTAATTTCTAATAGAAGTGAAATACTAGCTCCGGTAATTTTTGTTGTTGTTACGTTGGTTACAAAGTTGAGCACATCACCTACATTTAAACTGATTCCTCTCACATCCGAAACGTGATTAAATTCCCCTTGTGGCTTTAAAATTTTACATTGTTTTACTACCATTAACCACGAGGACACACCAGCCTCTGGTGTTCTGGCGTTGTACCCATTTTCAAAACTTTAGTTGGTGCTAGCACGTCATATATCAAAATTTGTGAATAGGCATGTTTTTTAATATATATATATATTATAAATCAATACAATCCGTTTATGATCTCTTGAAGCTCTCTCCCCGCGCTCATCTCTTTTAGAACGTATAAACACAAATGACCGCAAAATACCTGATCGGGTGGCTGAACCTGCTCTGTATTGTACAAGATCCCTCGCTTCAAATAGGATATCAACTCATTCGGAGGTTGTATGCCATAGCTATCGAAATAGTATTTATTTTTTCCTTGTGTGTACCAGGCGGTCCAGTGCGTTCCTCCTCCGTCACTAGAATCTAAATTCAGAATCCCACATTCATTTCTCTTTGGTCTCTTCGGAAGTGTATCGCGCAGAAATACTCCTCTAAAGTTTGGTATTTTCAATTCATCTGCAGCCCTCGTTAACTCGATATTACTTAGCGGTTTATTTGGCAGAACGACTTTTCCCACTGAAATGTTCATTTTTATATATATCTATTAAAGTTTAAAGTGTCCGTGGGCTAGTGTGCGCATCCCATCCTGGAGGATGATTCGCTTGTCGTCATTTGCCGAAAGAGCTATTTTGTTAATTTCTTCGGTGTACACATCATGACAGTGGCTCCTGATGACGTTCATCTTTCTCAACTGATCCTCACCCGTAAACAAACATTTCTTGTAATCCTCAAACGAAATACTCTTTCTGACAACGGACCTTTTCACCCCCTTACACTTCTTCTCCTCATACCCCTCAAGCAACTTGTCACTGTACAACTTAGCTCTCAACCCCACGAATTCTCGGATGATCTTACCTCCTGCCTCGTCCTTGAACATCCCCACCACTTTCTTGTTACGACCGACTTCGATGCCCGATTGGTGATCCTTTGGGAAGTTGCTGGTGTCAAACTTGGCTGCCACGTCACCAGAGATGTCCTTGTAAAAGTCTTCCGTCTGGATTTCGTATGCCAAGGAATCGGTATCGGTAAACAGGAGTTTTGCCTTTTCTCCGTACTTTGTCTTCATGTAGTTGTAATGGAAGTCGTACATCAACGTCTTGCTCAGATCGAGGATGCACATCCCGAGATAAACGGGCTTGTTGAACTTCAGTTTCGTCTTTTTCATATGTACGGCAACCAGGTTCTCGTCGAAGATGGTGCAATGTTTAAAATTGGGTTTTGCTGCCAACTTCTTCGCTTTTGTCTCGTCGTTGACTAGTCGGATATCCACTCGGCTCCTAATGTTCTCCATAGTCTTTCCGAAAACAGAGTTGTTCATAAACTTGAAAAAGTCCTTTTCAAACTCATTGTTTGCCTCTGCTCGGAGATTGGTGTTCAGGTCGATGTATTGCTTCAACCATGCACTTTCCTCGAACCTGATGCCCCTGTGGATCTTTGTAATCTTCATTCCCAAGCCCTCGTATAGTTTGAGGTTCTCGTAGTGAATGACATAGTTAGTTTTGTCATTGAGATTGGGAATAAGCTTTTCCACATTATGGACTTTGAGACTTTCTGGAGCGAGTGGATAGTCATTGTGGAGATCATGCAGATCCTTTGGATATTCAAGGTCAACCTCCAGTATACAGCTGTGGTTCTTCCAAGAGTCCAGTTCACTGTCTGTCATCCACCCGAATCTGTGTGTAGGGAGCGGTTTGCTCATGGCCCAACCATAGAGATTGTTGGCATCCAAATAGGCAATATACTTCGCAGGATCATGGGGGTTGAATGTTTCACCCATGTATGGGTTGTTTGCTTTGCCATATCTGTTGCTGATCATCGATATCCCGCCTCTGATACCTTTCTCCACCATGAGCAACATGTCTGGATCTGATAACAGCTCCAACTTCACTTCGGTGATTTTCAAGGCAGCGTCCCATGCTAGTCCAGGCGCTGTATAATACCAGGCAGGGTCAAGATCGTAGTTCTTGATGCAGACGTCTCTAAAGTTCTCGAAGACATCTGCCAAGAGCAACACGTCCGACTGGTTGTACAGTTCGTGGTAGTCCCTGAGTGACTTCATGCCAAACTCTTTCCACACAGTTTGTGCATGCTCATAGTCATCGTCACTAATCTCTTCTCCACTGAGTCTGGAGTAGAACGCTACTTTTCGTGGAAGGGCTGTTTCATCTAGTCTTTTGAGTGAATCCATATATTCATATGGGTAGACACCCTTTCTCATTAGTAAGTCAAGATGTTTTCCGTTATAGTACTTCGAAGTGATAGTGAAGCAGTCCTGATCCAGATTACCGGACAGCTTATCCAGGCTAGAGGCCATGAACTTGAAGCCTGTCGATGAATTTGAGTTGGTGCTTAACATCCTTCTCTTCCCCGTCCTTGCCAGTATAAGAACCGACAACAACCTCCTTGGTGAAGCTGATGTACTTTTCCTCGTTGTTCGGGATGCAGTTGATGTTCCCCTCAGTTTTACCGAGGTTCTTGACGAACAGATGACTGTCATAGCCGCTCAGATTGTGGAACACCACGGGAGTGAACTTCGGCTTCTTGTACTGCAAGTCACAACAATTGTGAGCTGCACCTCGGTATTTCCCAGTAAAGTGACAGTGATCTCTCACCTTCTTGTCATCCTTACTGAACTCACCTTGGCAGATCCAGCACTTTGTCGCCTTTTGGAATTGTTTGCTGTCATTTTCCCCAAAAATCATTGGTTTCGCCGGAATTTTGCCAATTTCTTTGATGTCTTTCTCCAACATTTCTACGAATATTTGGGAGACATCTTCGTCGTCAGTTTTCGCGGTGTAGGTAACCGGATCTTTAGAGAAGACACCATCATCAAAGCATTTGATGTAGTAACAAAAGCTCGATGGGGTGTGTTTCTGGTATTTCTTCGTGTAGCTCTTTCCCGGACACGGTTCACACGTATCTACGGGTTTGATGAAAGATTCAAAGTCAGCATACACTGTGAACGGCACTCTCATGGACTTGTGTATGTGCCCAAACGAAATGGTCGAGCCCTCTTCTGGCATCTCTATCTTGACGGCCTCGTTTGAATAACAGTATTCCATGTGCTTATTCAACGATTCCTGTGAGTAGAAGGGGTTCAAACATCTGAGACAGTAATAATTTTTGTGTTGGTGGTTTCCGGTTTGGCTGGACAACAAACGGCTCATGTCTTTGATGACGCAGTAATGCTGCTTTTCCCCATCAGAGATCAATAAAAGGTTTATTGTTACCCTATCAACGTGTTTGCTTATTCGGAGGGGGTAAACACTA